AGTACAGCACAGAGGAGCTCTTCGACTTCTGGCATACAAGGGACCCCTGTGTGGCTCACAGACGGTTTAAGAAATAAGTGTGCAGATTCATTCACCCCAGCCTTCATCACCTGGGCATGGAGTTATTTCCTATGGTTCCGAACATGCCATTTATCTGTGTAACTAAGTTCATGTGAACCTCAAGGATTTCAGCTTAGGCAAGTAGCTTCTGTGTAATTATCAGTGATTGTATCTTAATAAAGTCTAATGATCAGCCAAAAAAAAAAAAAATGAACTATCCAGCCATGAAAAGACATGGAGGAAACTTAAATGCATATTACTAAGCAAAAGAAGCCTATCTGAAAAGGCTACATACTGTAAGATTCCAATTATACGATATTCCAGAAAAGGCAAAACTGTGGAGATGTGAAAAAGATCAGTTGTTGCCAAGGGGCTGGGGTAAGGGAAGGAGGAAGAGACAGAACACACATGATTTTTAGGGCAGGGAAACTAAACTATTCCGTATAGATATTCTACTGGTAGATACATATCATTTATACATTTGTCCAAACCTATAGGACAAGGAATTGGCAACCCATTCCAGTATTCTTGCCTGGAGAAGTCCATGGACAGAGGAGCTGGCAGGCTATGGTCCATAAGGCTCGCAGAGTCAAGACTCAACTAAGCATGCACAATAGAATGTATAACAAGTGTGAATTCTAAAATGTAGACTTTGGGTGGTAATGATGTTGATGTAGGTTCATCAACTGTAACAATCATACCACTCAGGTGTGGGATATTGATAGTGGGGGAGGCTGTAAGGGGCAGGGTTGGGAGCATATGGGAATTCTCTGTACTTTCTACTCAATTTTGTTGTGAACCGCTCTAAACGTAAAACCAATTTGAAGATGTGTGTATGGGGATACGTAGTTTTGTTTTGAATTATCTGCACTATTGAATTATTATTTGATTACGTAGTTTTGCTTGCCTTGTTTGTATTTTTGTTTTAGGTCTGTGCATTGAGAGGGCCTGGGAGTAGCAATACTTCACTAGCAGTGAGCACACCCAGCACCCACATCTTGGCTTCTAAACACCATTTCCCACTAAAAGGAACCAGGGACCCATGCACAGATGGCTGATTCCAAGGCTGAGGCACAGAAAAATACAACATGTGCCTAGATCATCCTGTGCTGCACAGCAAGAAAGCATTCATACATGATGGAGAAATGTCACAGGACACAGAAGCCAGCTCAAAAAGAGATCCTACTGGCCAAACTGGACACAAAGCAATGAGAGGAATATGTTATAACCCATTAAATGAAACAGGAATCTGGAACACCCCTGATGTGACCTCACCCTCCCCAGAGGGTCTTCGTGGCCACTGCTGTTGTCTCAGGCAATCATTTATCCAAGGCAAGGTGAAAGAGAGAGACAAAAACAGTCAAAGCCTCTTCCACAATCCACTCCCCGAGTGATTTCCAAATAGATCCACAAAGGTGGACACTATCATTCATCAAAGGTCCATGTCTCCTTCCCCTCCACTCCTGCCTTTGAATCTTGGCTGCACTTACTGACTAGCTAGTAACTGTTACAACACTCCCGAGTGCTTCCACTTTGTCCATTGAAATATATGTGGGGACTTCTCTGGCAGTCCATGGTTAAAACTCCACGCTTTGGGGACATGGGTTTGATCCCTGGTTGGGAACCAAGATCCCACATGCTGCGTGGCATTAAGTTTTAAGTAAAAAACCTGAAGTATATTTGGAGCTGAGCTGCTGTGTAAGGAATCTGATGACTTAGGGGCTGCCATGTTAGGAGGAACTTGAGCCATATGAGGAGGCGGCTCATAGACACTTCAGCCAGCGAGCCTAATCTCTGAGGAAGTGTAGTCAGGCACCTGAGTGAAACACGTGGGGCTCTCTGTGCCAGCCCACTCGCCAGCTGAACACCTCAGTGACCTCAGTCATTACTCCAAGGAACCAAAGAATCTTCCAGTTGAGCCTGGCTGGAATTCCTGACCCACAGAATCTGGGGCATAATAAAACAGTTGTTTCCAGCCACTAAGTTTTTGGTCATTTATTACAAAGAAATAAGTACCAGTATACTATGCCAGAACCAGAATTCTCTTTGTCCCTGAAGACTTCTCAACATTTTTCTTTTCCTCCGATCCTGATTTTGTTCTGTCTTCCAGTTTCTCCAAGGCTGAAGTTGGGGAAAGGAACCAGCAGCCCACACTAGTTCATTACTTCATCATCAGGTACGCCTGGCATTTTTCAATTGTGAGCTTGTTTGGTCTGTATTAATCTGCTGTAATTCCGAATAAGGCCAGTTGAGGGTGTATCCCCTGGCTTTGGCCTACTTTCAGTTCATTTCTGGCTTCCTGGACTGCTCTACAAGGGTAAAACCAAACCCAAATCAGGCCTGAAGAAAGGCCTGTAGTTACGAATTCCCTGAGGAAATAGTCCCTTTATGCACAGCCCAAGCCAAAATGGACAAGTTTTCTAAATTTCCTACCACATTCTTTCATTGAAGATGTAGTTCTTCAAGGGATTAAGTTTTATGCAGGGGCCTCTGCTTGTCTCCAAACCACCTGGCCCAAGGTCCAACAGCTGTTAAAATCCAAGATTTTATATGATCCTGCAATCTCACTCCTGGGCGTAAATCCAGACAACACTATAATTAATTCAAAAAGACACAAGCACTCCAATGTTCACAGGAGCACTACTTACAACACCCAAGCACCCCAATGTTCATAGGAGCACTACTTACAACAACCAAGATGTGAAAACAACGTAAATGCCCACTGACAGGGGAATGGATAAAGAAGATGTGATATATGTCTACAACAGAATATTACTCAGCCATGACAAAGAATGAAAGGCCGTTTGCAGCAAACTGGACGGACCTAAAATGATCATACTAAGTGAAGTAAGTCACACAGAAAAATAAATACTATATGATATCACTTACATGTGGAATCTAAAACAAGATACCAATGAACTTATTTACAAAACAGAGCAGACTCAAAGACATAGAGAACAGATGTGTAGTTGCCAAGAGGGTGGGGAAGCAAAGGATTGGGAGTTTGGGGTCAGCAGATGCAAACTATTATATATAGAATAAACAACAAGGTCCTGCTGCATAGCGCAGGGAACTATACTCAATATCCTATTATATACCATAATGGAAATGAACATGAAAAAAAACATATATAGACTCAATGGACATGAGTTTGAGTAAACTCCGGGAAATAGTGAAAGGCAGGGAAGTCGAGCGTGCTGCATGCAGTCCATGGGGTCACATGACTGAGCGACTGAACAACAAAAATAACTGAATCACTTTGCTGCACAGCAGAAATTATCACAACGCTGTAAATCAACTACACTTCAATAAATTATTTAAAAAAAAAAACAAGGATTTGAATATCTGGTATTGGCAAATACTATCAGGACAACTGTGGTTTGAAGCTACCTCTGCAATTTGGGTACAGATTTCCCATGCTCTGAGCTCAGCTGTACATTTAAAAAAGGACGTTTGATTTCAAAACCAGTATCTTTGGGTATTTTTCAGAGGCAACCACACTGCAGAAGCACCAGACTGAGGCTCCTTCACACAACACATTTACCAGATGGCATCATTCTCTGCTTGTTGGCTGTTCAATAAAGACCAAGGGTTTTTACTTGGTTTAAAAGCCCAGCTTTGTCTGGCCCCTGCTAGCACAGCACTCACCACCCCTACCTCCCCTGGCCTCCCCGTTCCAGGTAGAGACAAGAAGATACCACCCTCTTCTGTTATTAAATAGGCTGTGCCCTCTTCTGATTCAGGGCCCTTGCATATGCTGCTCCTGCTGCTCACAACACTTTTTCACCCAACATGTTTCATCTTTTTACACCTTCAGGGTTTGGCTCAAATTCACTCATCACTTCCTCACGGAAGCCATCTGACCATCCTCCAAACAAAGTCTGACAGATTTCAGTTACACTCTCACAAAACTCCTGCATTTCTTTAGGGTACTAACCACAATGCCAGAAAAATTACAGTCAAAGTTAAATTACAATTATTAAAACTATCCACTTATACAATAATATATTTTTTTTTACAATAATATTTTCATGTCTGTCTTCCCGAGTGGATTGTCAGCTCTGAGAGGGCCCAGCCTGGGTGGGGCATCCCCAGTGACTGGCTCAGGACAGGCACAGAACAGGAGTTCGGTAAATGTGTGGTGAATGAACAAAATACATGTAAGTGCAGAACCAGGGTGAAAAACCTTGGGGCCCTAATTTCCTAGTTACAGGTCTACTTTCAATCTGCCAGGTGGGAAGGATCCCTTTCTTGGGACTCACATTTGCAGTAGAATCGCCAACCGACCGGCCCCCAGCTTAGATGGGGAGATAAGAGGAACTGATCATATCAGTGAATGTCTTGAGTCTTAATGAGTTTGCCATACAACGCTCTTCCTCAGCACTTCTTCATCCTGGGAGCTCAGATCTCAGCTCAGGTTGGGATAAGAGAGTGGGGGAGGGGAATACAAGTGAATGGGACTGAGGGGCAGGGGCTGGGAGAGGAGGGAGCAGTGAGGAGAGGAGACAGAAGGAGCTAACCCAGAAATCCAAGCCGTTTAGCATCCATAGCCTCCAAGGAACACAGTGAACAAACAAACTACACTGTGGTCCTTATCTGCAAAGTGGTGTCATATTGCACATAAAGTTCCAGGGCGAGTCTGTACTGGGCCCACAGTGCCTGCTGGGGGCACTCTCAGCCTGGTAAGTCAGGCCAAGGCCTGGAGCTCATACCTGGAGTTTGGGCAGAAGGCATAATCTCGGCCTGGGGGGTGGGAAGGATACACCAATTTGGGCCTGGAGGAGACATCACCTTGGGCCTGGATAGCTGGGAGGGGACCTCCTTGGGTCAGGAGGGAGCCTCATCTTGGACCTGAAGAAAATCATAGGGGATCCCTGGAGTCCAGACGTAAGCAGGTAGTTTAAACAGAATGGGAGAAGCAGAAAGAAGCAGAACCAAAACTAAGGGTACAGCTGGACCCAGGAAACAAGATGAGGCCAAGAGGGCAGGGCTAAGCCCAAGGAGAAGGAGCCAAGAGGTGGCAGAGCAAGGACCAGAAGGTGGAGACGGAATGAAGGCCAAGCCTGGGGAGCAGAAAAAAGGTCCAGATTAGAGGGACAAAATTCCAGAAGCGGGGCAGGGAGGAGAGACAGAGCCGAGGGAGTAAACGGAGTAAAGGAAGATATCAGGGAACCGACATTCAACCGGATTCGGGGGCTGCCGCGGGGAGAAAGCAGGTGCAGCCCCTGTGAACAGAAACCAAACTGAGGAAGGCAGAGAAAGGAAAGACGAGGCTCCATGAGCCCTTAAGAGAGAGGCAGACCAAAGAGAAGCTAGGTACCCAGGAGCTGGGGTCAAGTTTCGGACACAACCTCTGAACCAGGAAGCAAAGGTCAAGCCCAGGGGGAGGAACCAGATGCTACGGTCCAGCAGGGATAAACACACACACACACACACACACATAGCATTATCCAGGGGCGAGGTTATCCCTGAGGGTGACAGCAAGATGGGTGGGTGGCTAAACAGAGCACAGAGCCAGGTCAAGAGGCCGCAAGGCCTACCCCCAGGGCACAGTCAGTGGAGACAGTGGGTCATGGCTAGGCTCTCGGTCCCGGGTCTTGTTCAGGCTCGGTCCCCGGCACACCGCGGATGTCGGGCAGCAGGCAGCAGCTGGCCACGATGTCCAGACGCTCCGCCAGCGCGCAGAGGTCCCCCCTCGCCAGACGCACGCTGTGGGCTGCAGCTAATCCCGCTGCCTGGGCAGCCGCCAGCCTACCGGCCAAGGCGGCCACATCACGGCCCGCGCGGCGGTACACGCCGCTCACCGCGGCCGCTACGTCGTGGTCCAGCCGCGCCTGGCTCTCAGCCAGCCGGAGCTGCAGCAGCGAGCGCGCGGGGGCGGGCGCCGGGGCCTCCTCCTCCGCCCAGGCCTCCCCGGCCGTCTCCCGCTGCACCACGAGCGGAGGCAGGTCCCGCGGCGCGGCCTTCGGCTCCGGCTCCGGGTCTGAGTCGGTCTCCGCGGCCTCCCCAGCCACTCGCAGTCCCGTGGGGCGGCCGCGCGTTGGGCCCGAAGGGCCCAGGTACAGCTCCTCCTCCTCCGACGAGGACGCAGACAGATCCGAGTCCGACTCAGCCGCTTCCCCCTGAACCAAAGTCTCAGGCCTCCGCAGCGGCCTCCGCGGACGACTCTGAGACTCCATGGCGCGAGCTAGGGAGAAGACGCGGGAAAGGATGATATGAGGCGGGCGCCCTGCCGTGGTTAAAAGCCGCAGTTTCTGGATTCTCACCTCCTCCACTATCTTAATTTGGGGTCACTGCCTGCCTGGGCCTCAGTCTCTGAAAACTGAGCCCATCATCCCTAATGATGGTAGGAACTACTGGACTCTGCCTCTTCAGTGTACTGATGGGAAAACTGAGGACCACCAGCTCGATCAAGACTCTTTAGACACGAGGTCCCGGAATCCTAAACTAAACTCTTCCCGATTTTGCTTCCTAGCAGAGGCCACACCCTCTGCACTGTCCTCTCAGCCTGTGACGGATTCTGAAGCACACGGGTTTCTGAGCCGCTCGGGAACCAGGGCCTCATCACAGAAAGGGTAACAGTCCAACTGGACTCGGGGGAGGATGCACGAGGGGCGGGGTGGGGGGGGAGCGTTATCACCGAAGACCGTACCGGGTCACCAGAGCTCCGAGCCTGCGGGATCCTCTACCTATCCGAAGTACGGCGTCTTTACCGAGGAGCGCGGCAGCACCAACCAATAGGGGAGAAAGTTGGGCGGGTGTTGGCGGCCTATCTCCAGGGCCGCCCGACTACCAACCAGGAAGTAAGCCCTCCGGACTAGATGTTGGGGCGTCTGTAAAGAGCCACGTGAATAAGGGCACGGCCAATAGGAAAGCGGTTGGGCTGGCGCTTCCGGGTTGTGCTGCGAGAAGAGTGGACAAACAGAGAGTCTAAAAGATGAGCTGTCGCGTGTAACCAGCGACTCGACCAATGGAAACGCTCACGAACCCGGAAACGGTGAAGAAACAGCTGGAAGGGCGGAGGTGCTTGTCACGTGCGGCCAATACAGACAAAGCAGGCCCTCCCTGGTTCACGCGCGCACCACGAGAGCCCAGGAACGGAAGGCGGGGCTAGCCTGAAACACGAACGGAAGCAGGGGTGGGCGGGCCGCACTTAAGAAGCAGAAGGCGGGGCTTGCCCAACTGGGCCAATGAGAACACGAGACGCTGAGCGGTTGTTAGGCGACTGAGACCCGCGCATGGCGGACCCGGCACTGTTCGAGTTTCTGCACACCGAGATGGTAGCGGAGCTGTGGGCTCAAGATCCAGACCCCGGCCCCGGGGTGAGCGCCGGGTCCTGGTGGGGAGGAGCCACGGGCCGCGGCTGGAAAGCCAGTCGAGGCCCCCGGGAGGCGCGGATGGCAAGGCAGCGGTCCGGGCCGAATACCCGCCCCGCCCCTGATTGCGGAGAGACCTCCACTGCCGGCTTCCGCCTCTGCAAAGCCGGGTCCGGACAGGGCCGCCCTCGCGGGTTACTCCTAAAACTGTGCGAGACAACTCAGGGACAAGCTCCTAGCTCAAACCCTGACACAGAGTAAGAGGGTAGTAATTACGATTGCTTGATATATATTGAGGACTTACTGCCCGGGTTAAATTCCGCCTGTGCCACTCACCCTGTGTATGAAAGCCAGTGATGCGATCTGCGTGCCTCAGTTTACTCCCTTGTAAAATGGGATCATAACCGCACCTAAGGCTCGGTGAGACATTCATTCAACAAACTTACTGAGCACTTACTGTTTCCTAGGCACTTGCTTCTTGTCCTCACAAAGCTTAACCTTTTAGTAGGAAATTTACACAAACAATGAGCTTCCCAGGTGACTCAGTGGTAAGAATCCGCCTGCCAATGCAGGAGACGGGAGCTGGATTCCTGGATTGGGAAGATCCCCTGGAGGAGGAAATGGCAACCCACTCCAGTATTCTTGCAGGGAAAATATCACGGACAGAGGAGGCTATCGGACTGGGGTCACAAAGAGTTTAACACAACTGAGCAGGGCACCCAGGCAAACAATAAAAATAGCAATAAATGTGCCACCTGCTAGTGAGAAGTCCTATAAAGAAAACTTAAGTAGAATCAGGGAGAGAAAAGGGATGGAGTGGTGGCTGGTGGAGGAAGGCCTTTCTGAGGAAAAGAGGGGAAGAAGCAAGCCCTGGGGATAAGTAGGGGGAAGAACATTCCAGGCAAGAGGAGGCCTTAGAGCGTGCTTGGAATTTTGAAAGTTGGTCCTTATGAAAAATGCTCAGACTTTAAAGCACTTAGTGCCATGTCTAACACATCATAAGCCCTCAAAACATGGAACTCTGTTTTAAAATCTGGTACTAAGAAGAAAGTTTAGGGAGAAAGTAGATGCTTAATAAGTGGGTATTATGCCCACTTCTTTCATTATTATTGTATCATCATCATCAATATGCAAGACATTTTTATTGATCTGTGTTTCCTTCCCAATCCAGGAGCCCTAACAAGGCTGTTGCTTGTTATCATCCCAACATAGATTCAACAAACTCTTAACTATTAAAACATGCAAGGTGCCAGGCCTTGCTGTAGGGGCTGGAGATTACTCAGCAAACTGCAAAACTCTTGCCTTCTGCAGCTTACGTTGTAGTAGGGGAAATAGATGAATCAGATAAATGCATCTATATTGTACCTTGGGGAGATGCTATGAGAATGATGACACTTGGGAGAGGGAAAGTGCACTTGCCTGTGTGTCAGGGAGAGGGTTGCAGTGTCCCAGAGCCCCATCCATCCTGGCGTTCAAACAAGGAACCCAGGGGTCTCCAATAACCACCTTTACTCCCTCACCTCCAGCCATCAGTCAGGCCCAGCCTGTTCCACTGTCTAAATACAGTTCCCATCTGTCCCCTCCCTGTTGCCATGTGGCTTCCCTCCTCTCTACTCCATACCAGCCCCCTTCTTCATCTTCCAGCTTATTTTACCTGCCGCGTCGATACTATGTTGACACCTATTAATCCTTCAGTTCAAATGTCCCTTCCTCAGGGAAGCTCTCAGTGGAAGTGGCGGTATCTTTGTTCTGTTTGCACATTCCCCCTCCCCACACCACCATAAAAATCTGAATTATGATCCTTTAATTACTGCTGTCTTCTCTGCCAGGCTTCGTGCTGTGTGGTGTGGGCAGGGACCAGGTCTGCGTTGACCACCATATAGTAGGTCCTCAGAATGGATGTATATACTTTTTAATTTATTATTTGTTTGCTTTTGGCCGTGCTGTGTCTTTGTTGGTGCACTTGGGCTTTGTCCAGTTGCGGTGCTTCTCACTGGCGTGGCTTCTCTTGTGGAGCATGGGCTCTGGGGTGTGCAGGCTTCAGTGTTTGTGGCACATGGGCTCAGTAGATGTGGGGCATGGGCTTAGTTGCCCCACGGCGTGTGAAACCTTCCAGGACCAGGGATGGAACCCGTGTCCCCTACACTGACAGGCAGATTCTTTAGCACTGGACCACCAGGGAAATCCCAGTGTGGGTCTGTTGAAAAAGTGAGCGCAGCCCCTGTGCTGTGGAGGGTGAGGGTAGGGACTGGGGTTCACTTAGTATTGTGGCCAACAGTAACGCCCACCAGGTGTCTGCCGGGGCCTCGCCTTCCTGATTTCATTTGATCCGCCTAACAACCCACGGAGGTCAGCATGGTCCTGCCCGCTTTGTAGAGAGGAGCAGAGGCTTTGATGGATGGAGTCTTTGCTGTCAAGGGGCAGAGTCAGGAATGTAACTGGGCCTCCCACTTCCAAAACCTGTGCTATAAACTCACCTGTCTCAGCATCTCCCCTGACACTCTTGGGAGGATTTTGATGTGGCCGAGCAAGTGTGGGGGACACGCGGTTACTCAGCTTTGCTCAGCACAGGGTTTTCAGAGCACGAGTGTGCCCATGACCTTTGGCAGTGGCTCTCTGCACGGCTGCCTCTGCGGCCCCAATGCTGGGGTCCCCACACCAGGGATTCCGGCAGAGCTGGGCTGGGAGGTGGCCTGGACATTGGCCCTCAGAGCTCCTGGGTGGTTCCCGTGTGCAGCCAGAGTGAGGACTGCCATCTCCCCACATACCTTCAAGCTGGCAAACTCCGCTTCTCAGAGGCACGTTGTGGGCAGCTGCCTGGTTTTCCCGCAGTCTTTTCTCTTTTGCTTCTGGCCCCTCCCCTCTCTGCCCCTTATTTTTGGTCCAGCAAGTGTCCTGTCTGCCTCTTGGGATACTTCTCGTGGCTCCAGCACAGTGCTTTATCTGATTTCGTCCTCAGAACAGCCCTCCAGGGTTGATGTTATTACCCCATTTTATAGGAGAGGAGACTGAGGCACCAGACAGGAAGGGTTTTTCCGGGATCAGAGGCAAAATCAGGACTCGGGCATCCAGGTCAGAGCTTGTCTGTGGCAGCAGCCGCACCAGCTCCAGAGCCCTTTGAGGAAAGCGATGGTGGCTGGTTCATCTCTGCCCCGACCGCCAGGCGCCCGGGAGCCACAGTCATTGTTTAGGGCTTTTTGATCTCCACGTCCTGCCTGGTTATTTGTAGCTGTTGAATGGATTCTCCTGGAGGGTTATGGCTTGAGTGGAAGGCTGGCTGGAGGAACAGGAAGGTCAAAGGGCCTTTGTTATCTGAGCAGGAAAAGTTCCCGGAGGAAGAGGCAGGGGAGGAGGAAGAGGCGGCGGCTGTGGTTTGTCCATCTCAGGAGCTTTGACGACAAGGGGAACCTGTGGGCAAAGGAGTTAAGTCAGCGTGGGAATGAGCTGTCCTTTGGAAGCCCGGGAACAGCCGTGCGGGCCGGGCCCGTGTCCACCTAAGCCCAGTGAGCGCTTAGCCAGTCCCTTCTCTCAGGAGCGCCTGGGCGGGGCGGGGTGGTGGAGCAGCCGTCAGGTGCAGTCCTCGTCCCCAGGCCAGAGCCTGGGAAACCACCTGGTTCCCGACAGCGTGGATGGCATCAGGGCATGGTGCCTCTGTGAGCGAACTGGGGCTCTGTCCTGAGGGTGCTGGGGGCCGTAGAAGGTTTAACCTGAGGTCGCTGGCTCAGATTTACTTCTTCGGAGGCCCTCCCTGGCCACCTGGATGAGAAGGGATGGAGATCGGGCCGGGGAGGAGCCCGGAGCACAGGGGACGGGCAGAGAGACCCTCTTGGAGTGTCAGCGGAGAAGGTGGGGTCTGCGGTGGTGTGGAGACTGCCTGGGGGGATGATGGGGGAGAAGACCGGCGACAGGTTGGGAGGTTTGCTCCCGCCTGGTCGCTCTCCATACTTTCTTTTTTTAAAGAAAAAAAAATTATTTCTTTGGCCACACCGAGTCTTAGTTGCAGCATGCCAAATCTTCGGTCTTTTAGTTGCTGCACACGGGATCCTTAGTTGCAGCATGTGGGATCAAGTTCCCTGACCAGGGATCGAACCCAGGCCCCCCGCACTGAGAGCTTGGAGTCTTAGCCACGGGACCACCAGGGAAGTCCCCCCGCCATACTTCTTTTGCATCTTCAGGCCATTCACGCTGGGGAAGTCAGAAGTCATCCCTTCTCCCTGTGCTTGAGGCAGGATCTGGACTGCCCCGCCCTGGGCCAGCATAGAGTGGCCCCACCGGTGGGGGCCGAACCTCACGGATAACTGAGGGGCCGGGCACGCAGCGCCCCCACCCAGCAGTCCAGGATGGCTCGGGGGAGGCAGTGTGGTTTACTTGTTTGGTGTTCCTCCTGCTCGGAGCTGTGGCCCTTTTCAGACTGGACGCCTGAATCCGCCTTTAGCCGAGCACGGCTGAGCACGTTTTCCTCTTTCATTGTTTCTTCTCCCGTTGTTGTTCCATCTGTGGTGCTCAGAGGAATAGTAGACTTTCTGGGTCTCTTTCCATGTGTCAACTTTTCTTTTCTTTTTTCCCCCTTAACAATCTGTGAAGTTTTAGCGACTTTGCAGAGTTCTTTTTCAGCTCCCTCACAAAGAGATTTCTTCTGGCCACCACGTTCATTTCCACAAACGTTCCCTTGTCGGCTCATCCCTTCCTCCGAGCGCCCGTGCTGCTCATGGATGCCCTTGGTGCCCATGCTAAATAAGCCTTCTCTGAGGGGGTCCCCTGCCCCGCTTCTCCCATCATCTCAGTTCCTCTCCGTGGGCTCTGGTTGCGGCAGGTGCAGGGAGCCCAGAAACGCTCTGGCTCTCGCCCAGGCTCCAGAGGATCAGGATAAGATGGGAGAGGTCCCTCGCCCTCCCTCCGGAGCAGTGATGACCCTCTAGTGTCGGGGGAGCTTTTGCAGGGCCTGGGGTGTGCCAGCCCTGCCGCCCTCCCCTCCCCCAAAACCCACCCCCTGTCACACTTCCTCCCTGCTCCCCTCCCCACTGCCTCTCCTCACCCCTGCTAGCTTTATGCCCCCTCTCACTCCCACCCCCCCCCACCCCCCCCCCCCCCGTCTCTGCAGTGCAGCAGATATTTACCTAGCCTCTTTCGAAGGCTGGGACCGTGGGGCCAGCAGCAGCAGCAGCTGTGTTGTGAGCTGCCGGTCACCCACCCCTGGAGATTGGGCCCCCCGCCTTAAGCCTGTCACCAGCTTGTCATCCCCACTAGGCGTGGTGTGCAAGCTCCTGGAGGGGAGCTAGGAAGTGACCGCGGGATGAATGGGGAGTCCTGGGAACACAGGTGCGCTTGTGTCCCAGAAGGTGCGCTTCTGGGAACACAGAGCGGAGCCCCGTCCGGCCCCCCGCCAGGAGTTCCCCTGAGCGGGGAGGTGATGCAAGAACGGCAGAGGCCTGGCGAGGGCTGGGCCGGGAACCAGGTGCTGAGATACGTCCGCCCACAGGACAGAGCCCCTCCTTCGTGGGCTTTTCCTTCCCTTTCGCCATCAGCTCATCAGCAGGCTGACAGGTGCAGAGGCCGCAAATGACGACAGTACCGCATCCTGATCCCGACTCGGGGTGCTGGGCTTGCACTTATCCACTCCTTTAATCCTCACGAGGGCCTCGTTTTACATGGGAGGAAACTGAGGCACAGGGCAGCTGGCTACCGCCCCAGGCCCACAGCTGGTAAGGATCCGGACCCTGGACCCAGCCACCAGGCATGTGTTCCCCTCTCTGCCCCTCACAACCGAGCTCAGACGTCGAACACCTTAGTCACCAAGTCAGCCTGCACCCCCCGACCAAGGCCAGCCCTGCCGTGTCGGAGGACACCAGAGAGCACACGTCAGAGTCACGGGCAGGAAGCTGTGTCCTTCCCCAGGCCCGGTTCCCACAGGAGGAAGGCGGAATGGTGGGCCAGGGTCTGACTATCACGTGGCCCAGCAGAGGAAGGGGCCATCACGCAGGGCATCTCAGCTCCACACCCCCCCCCGACTCCTGGCACCTCCCGTCAGCCAACCTCAGCCCTTGCCACTTCCCTGGGGCACGGACAGCTGCGAGTGTTGCCCTGATCGCCTGCCCGTCAGCCAGCTGCATGCAGGAGCCGGACCTGCTCGGGTCTGAAGGTGCCTCTGGGAGGTCTGACCTAACCCAGGCGCAGAGGGTTCCAAATGTGAAACACAACCTACCTTAAGGGGCTGTTAAACGAGGGGGTCTGCCCAAGGCATCTGGCATAGCATAGGCCCAGGTCCTGAGTCCTCACTTTGCTCGTTCAGCATGTTTCTCATGAGCCCCGGTGTGTGCCTGGCCCCCCTGATGCCGTCCTGGCGCCTGAGTCAGGGCCGCTCAGCTCTCTCTGGGTCACACAGGTCGGCTGTCCTCCAGCCACGCCGTCCGCGCTCCAGGGCACATGGACAGACACCAAGTGTGGCCTCCTGCCGTTCGGTCCCCACGCCTCAGCCCCCCACCGCAGGACCCTGGCCTGGCCCCCCGGAAGGCCACTCGGCCACCACTGCCTTCACCAAGCACGCTGAACCCCTGTCTCCCCTGAGTCCCGGGGGGTCCCTCCCAGGAGTCTCGGCTCATAGTTAAGGCCCCATGATCACAGTTGACTTTTCAGCCGCCTGCTGGCCGGGCCGGGGGCCCACCCCTTGTGGCCCCTTCACTGCAGCCCCCTTGCTCACCACATGAGCCCCAGGCTAAGTCACCTTGAGTTTCTGGAGTGACGGGGTGCTACCCCACATGGTGTTTAAGGATGGACGCTGAAAAGTACACACAGGAAGTGATGGGAGTTGCCAGGAAAGACAACAGGGGTGAGGCTGAGCCTGGGCAAGACCCCCATTTTTCCTGGAGTGAGAGCAAGTGGAGCCTGAGGGCCGGTGTGGTCTGTGGAGCCAGCCTGCCACTCAGGAAGCCCTCTATCCTGGGTCTTAGCTCCCTGCACCAGCAGGGATGCACAAGCCCCCCTCAGCTGCACCACCGGCTGGAGGTGGCCGAGGGCCCCTGAGCCTCCCTTCCCTGGCCTTCTAGGGACAGAAGACCAGCCTGTTGGTCCTGGAGGGCATGGGCTTCCGCGTGGGCCAGGCCCTGGGCGAGAGGTGAGAGGCGGGCAGGCCCCGCGGTAGGGTCCCTTCCTGGGCAAACGGGCAGGGAGGGTGCCTCCTGCACACAGGATCCCGGGCCGGTCTCCTCTCTCTTCCTCACCCTGGGGCTCCCCCAGCCCGACCCCCACGGTTTCTGCCGCTGCCCCCCCAGGCTGCCCCGGGAGACACTAGCCTTCAGGGAAGAGCTGGACGTCCTCAAGTTCCTGTGCAAAGACCTGTGGGTGGCTGTGTTCCACAAGCAGATGGACAGCCTCCGCACCAACCACCAGGTGCGTGCCCCCCGGCCAGACAGCCGGCAGAGGCCGGAGCCCCCAAGACCCAGGGAGGGGACCCCGGCTCAGGGCAGTCACAGCAGGCCCAGCCCCCCTCGGGGCCTCCCCACAAGCCCCACCCAGGACAGGCCCCTTGCGGCTGGCCGCCTTGCCTTGGCCTGACGCTGCTTGTCTGCACCCAGGCCTCGTTCCCATTAGGCGCCCACGCTGGGCCCGGCTGGTGGCCCAATGGCCTGGGCTGCACCTTCTCCCCACTGGGCACCCTGGAAGTCGTGCAGCAGGGGATCGGGGCGGGGGGGACACCAGGCCCTGATCGGAAGGCCCGCGGGTCCTTGTACAGCCCCGAAGGACGGCCAGAGACTACCACAGCCGTTTTGAGGGAAGGGTCCTTCCAGACCTCAGGGTGGTGGCACTGGGCCCTTGCCTCCCCTCGGCGCCGCCCCCCCACCCACAAAGGTACAGGCGCCACCCCGGCTCCCTCGGACCCTCCTCTGTCCCCAGGGGACCTACGTCCTGCAGGACAACAGCTTCCCCCTCCTCGTCCGGATGGCCTCGGGTCTACAGTACCTGGAGGAAGCGCCCAAGGTACCGGGCGGGACTCTGGCCTGAGGCAGGCCTCTTCCCAAGCCCAGGACCCCAGGAGAGGGAGGCGGACCCCCCTCCCCTCGCGAACCCTCAAGCCCAGGTGGCCCCGGGGTGTTGGCCTCCCCCTGCTCTGCCCACGGTGACCCGTGTCCCCCGTCCCCAGTTCCTGGCCTTCACCTGCGGCCTCCTGCGTGGCACCCTCAGCACCCTGGGCGTCAAGAGCCTGGTCACCGCCTCCGTGGCAGCCCTGCCCGCCTGTGAGTTGGGGTGGGGGGAGGTTCCCATCCCTTGAGTGTGCCAGGGGGCACCCCCCGCCCCGCTGCTCCCAGGGGCCGTGGAGGTGGGGCTGGGCCGCCCAGCCCCTCTGCAGATGGGAATCTGTGGCCCAGAGAGCTGAAGTCACGGGCCCAGGCCACACAGCTGGTGCAGCCCATCCATGGCCCTGCCCCAATGTCTTCCTAGACTGCCTCCCCGGGGCACGCCAGCCTGGAGGAGAGAGCCCATACAAGGATCTGGGCTAGTGGTTTCCAACACTCTTCCCAGCGTGAGAACCCAGGTGGACACAATTGAAGTCACCTGGGTGGGGGGTGGTGGCGTGCTGGGCTGAGAGGCTCCAAAGGCAGCCAGTGTGAGCAGGTGTCCTCCTGACGCCGGGGCCCCGCTGGCCCACAGTGCCCTCCATCGGACAAGCCGAGACCCCACCCTTACCTGGGGGCCAGCCCTCCATGCCCCCTTCCCTCGGGTGTCTTCCCCTCTACCGATCCCCAGGGCCATGCGTCACGGGGGGCTGGGGCCCGAGGTGGAAGGATCCGAGGTACATGTGCAACTGAAAACTGGGCCAGGTCCCTCCCCCACAACCTACGTGCCTGACCTGCTGCCTGACCTTCGTGCCCCCAGCCACCCACACAGCCCTGGGGCGCAGGCCGGGGGTGGGGCTGGGGCACCATCATCTCAGGCCAGCGAGGAAACGAGGTCCAGCCAGGGCCACCGGGGCTGAGGGTGCAGGGCCCGGGTGAACGGCTCGGAGCGGCTGGGGTTCCTCCTCTCTCTCCATTCCGGCCCCAGCCTTGAGCTCAGGCCAGCCCTTCTCTTCCAGGTAAGTTCCAGGTGGTGATCCAGAAACCTTGAGGAGCCCCAGGTCCCACTCCCAGATGAGCCTCATGGCACCCCAGCCCAGAGACCCCCCCCCGCTGCTGCCTGTGCTGGGGGCTGGTGCTGGGGAGACTGGGGTCCCCGCGCTGCAGGGTGTCACAGATGCCCAACAGATGGGTGTCAGAGGGAAGTGGGGGTGTCCCGAGGGCTGGTGTGGGGGGTTCCCATCACACACATCCCTCCACAGGGCAGGCGCTCAATAAAGGTTCTGTAGGTGGAACCAGACTCAGCGTGGAAAGTGGGGGGATCACTCTAGAGGGCTGGGGGCATGGGCCCTGTGCGCAAGCACCCCATGTGGCTTCCCCCCGCCCCCAGGTCCCCTCCGCTGCAGCCTCAGCCCTGGGGCTGGCCGCCTCCCACCCCGCACACCTGGCGGCGAGGGTGGCCCCCGGGACGGGCAGCCTTGCCAGCGTGGACAAGTCTGGGGCCGCTCTCTGCTCAGCAGGGCCCAAAGAATGGACCTCTCCCTGGGAGCGGGGCCAGGGGCCCCTGGAGTTGCTGCCAGGTGTGGGCTGGCCTGGGGGGCTGCCAGGAACAACGACGGATGAGTGGGTGGGCCAGACACCCTCAGCTCCCCCCACACGCACACACACACTCTAACACATGCTTCACGTGCCTGGCGGATGCAAGTCATACCCAGAACAATGGCCCCGCTGACTAGTCTCTGGGCAGTTCAGCCTCCGTGCCCGCACCCCACCCCTGCCACCACCTCCCCTGTTTACATTCATAGCATCTGGGGGCATCACCTGTCTGGACTCTGCCGGGCTCTGCCACTCGCTGCCTGAGGTGGGTAAGTACTGCGGCCTTGGAGCTGTAACCAGAGGTTGGGATCGACCCGAATGGGGGGAGGAGGGGTCCCCTTGCCTAAGACCCCCCCCAGGGGCTGGGGCTCCTCTGCCTCCATAGCGCCTGGTGCAGACACCGCATGCAGCCCCTTCCCCAGCACACACAGCCGAGCCCTGCAGTCCCTGGCTGCCTCCGAGCCTTAGCATGGGCCTTTCCTGCCTGGCCGCCTCCCCAAACGCCTACTCCAGCAGCCTGCAGCCTCCGCCGCTCCGCTGCCCACCACATCCCCTGGAGCGGCTGCTCACTCGCGCTTCCCTGTGGGTCGCTGGCTGGAGGCTGGCACTGTGAGATGAGTCCCAAATGAATCTCGGTCACTCAGCTAAACTCTGCAGGCAGGCAGGTGGTTGTGGGGGAGTGGGGGAATAGCCTGGGGCCATCCCTTCCCTCAGGATGCCCAGGGGTGGTCCAGGAGGGGCCCCCACAGACCCACCCACCCCTGATTCAGACACACTAGCCTGGCCTTGATCAGGATGGGGGTAGAGTTCTGAGCTGGCGAGGACGAGAAGGAAGAAGCTGCTGGGAGGCCTGGCAAAAAGGGAAAGAGGCATAGCTGGGCTGCAGGGGGTGGCGTCTGGTCACTGGGCGCCCTGCAGGGCCCGTCGATGTCCTCTCTTGCCCTGGGCGCTGCTCAGTGGTCGCTCCCCCACCTCCCAGGGGGAACCTCTGCTGGCGCCATCACCCCAGCAGCAGCCACAGGAAGACAGGACCCTGGAGAGCAGAGGGGCCCCCCTCCAAGGTATCTAAGGTGCCTCCTCCCCACCCCCACCCCCAAGAATGTCTGCAAGGCGCCTTCACTACCTGGCACTAAACACTGCCTGCAAAGCCCGACTCAGCCTCCCTAAGACCTGGGGTTGGGGGGACTCCGTGGGTCCTGTTTCCTCATCTGCAGGGCAGGCCTCACCCCCCACCCCATGGGGGCATCGTCAGGAGAAGGGGGGTTACTGTAGAGAAGCACGTGGGGAGTTCCCTGGTGGTCCAGTGGTTAGGACCCTGTGCTCTCACGGCCGGGGCCGGGGTTCAGTTCCTGGCTGGGGACCTCGGATCCCACAAGCTGTGTGTTGGGCCCCAAAAGGGAAAAGCATGTCCACCGAGTGTGGCTCCTAATGAGCCAGGAACTCGCGTGTCGTCACTTTATGTGAAGCATCTGGAGCAGCCGGTAAGTGGGTTGGTTGGCGCCTGTTGTAGAGCGCCAGGTGCTGGGCTCGGCGGACTCCCGACGGCCGCGAGAGGCCGTCCCGGACGCCAGTCTGCTCAGCAGTGAGGAAGCCGGGCTCAGAGAGGGGAAGTCACCCGGCCCGGGAGGAGCTGGCACCCGAAGCTGGGATGGCTCCTTCCCTGGGCCTGGGCTCCCGGCTTCCTTCCTGCCCGCCCGCAGTCGAGGCGCCCAGACCTGCAGACCCTATGGCGGGGCCCTCCCTGAGCGGCACCGAGGCCTACCGTCTCCGTGTCTTACCTGGGGCAACCCCAGCCCTGGAAAGTGGGGCGCACCAGATGGGGACTGGGAGGGCTTGCTGGGGACGGGGCGGGGACGAGGCGGGCAAACCGGTCGGGTGGCTGGGTTCCCGGCTCCCAGGCTCCGGCTCTGGGGCCTCTGCGTAGTCGGGGTGGTAGCGCTGACGCTGCCAGACGGAGGGGCTGGCGCAGAGCTGGGCGGGGAGCTGGGGCTGCGAGGCTGCCTTCAGGTACGGGGAGACCCCAGGCCCGGGCGGGCGTGTGTGGGGGGGGTAAGTGGGGGGTCACACACCTGGTCCCCAACACTCACCACCCCATTTCCTCTGCCCCTCAGCGGCCCCCCCAACCCGTCCCTGCCTCTAAACAGCATCCTTCCCATCCTTAAAATGGGCGCCTCACATTTTAAACCCCAGTGACCCCCCACTGCCCTGTCTCATCCCATTTGCTCTCCCAAATCGGACCATGCCGATTTCATTTTCTCCCCGAGAGTCCCCCTCCCTCCAACCCCTCATTACATCCCTAATGCCCCAGCCCTGAGACTCCAGTCGCTCGCTGTGTGGCTCGCTGCTCCCACCTCTCATCACTGATGCACTGATTTCAAAGGGCGCCAGCCCCCACGTCCCACAGCACAAACCCCTAATACCTAGTTCCCCCCCACCGGTTTTACTCAGCCACCCACCAGCTCCCAGTCCACCCCAGCTCAGCACCCCCATTGTCCCGGCCTCTTGGAAACGCCCAGTAGCTCCCAAACACCCCAGATTACCCTCCTTAACACCGGCCCACCTGGGGCCTCACCGACCACCCCCCGCACCCCATCCAGACCTCCCAGTGTTATTGGAGGAGCACCTCCACCCCACCTGGGTTAACGCGGCACCCAGCATCAGGGAGGGGGGCTCATCCACGGCAGGTCTCAGGGAGCTGCCCCGGGGGTTGGCTCTGGCAGCCGGCACTCCGCTGGGCACTGAGCCGGGCCCCTCCCACCCCCTCCCGGAGCAGGCCCCCGGCCACCATGCACCAGCACTACACCGTCCACTTTGCCAAGGGTGCCCTACCCCCCCGGATCGCTGCCGAGCGCTACTTCTTGGACCCGGAGTTGGGGCACCAAAAAGGTAGGGGTTCAGTTTTGGGGGGGATGCTGGCAGCAAGGAGGGGTGGCTCAGGGGGATGGCCAAGCAGAAGAAGACCCTCAGGCCCCAAGAGAAAAGCCACCAGCACTCACCATAGAGGCGTCTGCACACGGGGCTGTGTGGGACCCTGGGCGGCCCACCTGGCCTGCCCTCCTCCCCCAGCGTGGGAAGAATTTCCTCCCCGAGTCACTAGGCCTGGGGGGACTGCCCCCCACCTTGGGGGAGCCGTGTGGTGGGAGGGAGGGGTCAGAGGGCAAGCCCTAGCCCCCCACAGTGAGTGTATGAAGGAAGTGGGGGGTCTAGCCTCATGGTGACCACAGGTGCTCCTGCTTGGGGTGGGGAGGGGGCAGTTATCGCCCCTCCTTGGGGCCTCCCAGGGCAGCCCCCTTCCCGAGGTTCTCATCTGAGCTCAGGTGTGAGTCCCACCCCCCCTTTCCTAGTCCCGACCCTGTCCCCTCTCCGCAGTCACCTCCCGTCACTCCGGCCTCTGGACCAAGCGGGCCAGCTCCCAATGGAGTATTCTCAGTGCCCGCACTGGGGGACACCCGAGGACTGGGGAATTTGGGGGAGCAGGAACTCTGGGACAGCATCCCCACTCTAGTCCCTGACCTGGCTGAAGCCCAGGCCCCTACACCTCCTCCCCTTCCTCCCACCCCAGCCGTGGGAGCACGCAGGGCGAGGCCTCACCCCGTTCTCCTTTTCTCTCTGATTTCTCCTGAGCCCCCCTCCACCTGAAGACCCGACCCGGTTCCTGCCAGCACCCTCAGGGCTCAGGGACCCAGGCCCAGTCACCCCCACTTCCTTCCTTCCAGGATGCTGTCAGCAGGGGTGCCACGACCCAGCACAGGGACCCAGGCCCAGTCACCCCCACTTCCTTCCTTTCAGGATGCTGTCAGCAGGGGTGCCACGACCCAGCAGCACGTGGCGCCCACAGGCCTGGTCGGCTGACCCCCCAGGCATGCCGGCAGCCGGCCTACCATGGCCACCAGGGGGGGCGCGGCAGCTGTCGCCGGGGCCCCCAGCCCCTGACCCAGCAGCAGCAGCAGCAGAGGCGGCAGCCCAAGCCCCCGCCGCAGCATCTCTGCTCTGTTCACGGGGCCCAGAAGCGGCCACCTGCAACCACCGCTGTCTCCGCGCAGCCGGCCAGCGCCCCACAGCCGCCCCCCACCTCATTCACCACGGCCACCGGCGGCCCAGCCCTGCCCTCCGCAGCTGGCACCCTCCTGGAGCCCAGCAGGCCCTCGGACGCCCGGCCCCTGCCTGCCCCTGCAGCCTGCGGCTGCTTCACCTCCTTCAGCTCCGGTGCTCACCCAGCCTCCCCTTGCCAGGCTCTGTCCCTGCCACCTTGCTTCTTGCTGGGGCCTGGGGCCTGCCCTCCTTACCCCTCCGTCTGGGCTCTGTTTGGAGGGCGCTCGTCCCTGACCCTGGGCCTCGGGGCAGCCACTGCTGCTTCACCTGTCGGGAGCCAAGGGAGCTTGCTGGCCAGCTCAGGGGTGGGGGAAATGGGTCAAGTGTGTGACTGCAGCCAGAGGTGTGGAGTGGCCTGGGAGATTCAGAGAGCAGTGCAACCATGGGAGGAGACTGGCCCTCTGTCAGTGTCGTGACTGACACTGACAAGTGACACCCAGCCACTCATTCATTCATTCTTTCATTGTGTGACTAGGTATGGGCACCTATAGGAGTGCCAGGCTCTGTCTGGGAGCGCCCCAGGGAGCAGGGCAGACAGATTGCTGCCCTCGTGGAGCTCACATTCTGTAGGCAGTTGGGGGAGGTGGGTTTACAGGAAACAATAGGAAAGTTCAAAAGAGCGTCACTGGATGATAACCATGTTGGGGGAAGGATAAAGCAGGCAGAGGAGATGGGGTCTACAAATTAAGCAGGGTCATCAGGCGAGGCCCCAGTAAGTCGACATTTCAGCAAAATGGGGCACTTCTCTTGAGTCAATGGCAAATGCACTGACTCTGAGGTGGCCAGTTTAAGGGACAACCAGGAGGTACATGTGGCGGGATCTGGGGAGGCGAGGAGGAAGGTCAGACAGGTCAGAGAGGGTGGAAGGCAGCCAGATTCTGTGGACCTCCTGGCTGCAGTAAGGGGTTGGCCTTCTCCCCTGGAGAAGCAGGAGCCATGAGGGCCCAGAGCTGACTCGGGCTGTGACGTGAGAGCTGACTCCTGGAGTCCAGGCGAGAGGGGCTGGCAACCTGACCAGGGAGGTGGTGTCAGAGGTGGGGACTCACACTGGTTTCCAGGTCTGTTTTGAAAACAGAGCCCGGCTGAGCTCATCTCCAGGTCAGGCACAACCTCATCAATAGAGGAAAAATAGGACGCAGCCTCATGGCCACGATGCCCATTTCACACACTGGCAAGTTGAGGCTCAGTGAGGTGAGGTCAGCCAGAGCAGGCTCAGGTCCTCCCTGGCTGCCGCCTCAGCTGGCTGTGGCCCTAGTCTGCCCCCTGCCCTCCCAGCTGTGCCCCCAGGCCCAGCGCTGGCCCTCGGCAAGGGATGGATAACGCAGCCCAGAGGCCTCAATGAAAGTGGGCATGTCATCCCCACCGAGCACCTCGAGGCTGGCCAGTGCCCCCCCCACTGCAACCCAGCTGTACCCTTCTGGCGCCCCAACTGTGGGTCCAAGAACGGGCGCTCAGTGGGGGCCCAAAGCCAGAGAGCAGGCCTGCTCTGGAAAGTGGGCTGCAGCACTTGCGAATTGAGTCCCTGTGCTGGGACTCAGGACAGCTGCGCCCTGAAGAGCCACCCCAGACCACGACATTGACAGAGGCCCTGGCCTCACCAGACCCTTGGGCGCTCACGCTCTCCGGTGTCTCTGCACCCCACTGTTCAGAGGAGGGGGCCCAGAGGCAGCACTGTGCATAAGGCCATGTGGAGAAAGGGGCCAGGACCAGAAGCCGTGTCTTCGTGGGGCTTAGGATCAGTGACTGTGGGCACCAGGGCACAGAGAGGGATCAGAGTAAGGGGTGGACAGGCAGCTGAGGAGCCTGTGGCTGTCCGGGCCCGTGCATGCTCCAGCCAGGCTGGCAGAGCTGGGAGAAACTCACACGGCAGGGCTTCTGAGCATGGAAGGCGGTGTCTTAAGTATTTGAGGGCCTGGGAACCTCAAGAAAAGTCGGTGAGATTTTTTCACAGGGGGACCATGATGAGCCTGGTGACCTGCAGCCACGTTCCCACGCACCTCTGGGTACGGACCCAGGAGCCAGACGGGCACACCTGGTCCTGGAGGAGGGGGCTGCCTGCGGCCGCAGAAACCTCTGTCAGGGGCTTTGGCCTGAGTCGCAGCTGGGAGACGGGGAGGGGGTTGCCGGCGGTGCGGGAAGAGGCCGAGCGCTGCAGAGGGCAGAGGGGAGGAGGGTGGTGCCTGGCCAGCCTCGCTGACTCGGGTTTCCCCACCCCCGGCACCCCCAGACATCTTGACAGAGGATGACGTCTACTGCAGCTGCCTGGCCAAGACTCTCTGCCACGTGCCCGTCCCTGTGACTGTGGGTTTCTATGCCCCCTTTGGCTGCCGCCTGCACATGATGCTGGACAAGATCACGGGTGAGGACCTGCAGGTGTTGGGGGGAAGAGGGATTAAGGGAAATGGAGCCTTGGGTCCCTGCCCCGCCCCAGGCTTCCCCAAGACCTGCTTGTCCCTGAGGTCAGTCGGCCCCAGTGCAGAGGCCCATAGGTCAGCATTTACCAGGTCCCTTCCCATGCCTTTGCCCCCCCACCCCGCCCCACCAAATCCACTGCAAGGGATCTCTCTAAAATACACATCTATGAGAGACTTCCCTGGTGGTCCAGTGGTTAAGACTGCATGCTGCCACTACAGGGGGCCCATGTTCGATCCCTGGTCAGGGAACTAAGACCTCACATGCCACGCACTGCAGTCAGAAAATTAAGCAAATAACAACAAAAAATAAAATACACATCTAGCCCTGTCCTTCCCCTGCTCAGAAGTCTCCCATGGCTCCCCAGCACCCTTGGGAGAAAGCCCAGGCTCCTCGCCGAGGCTGCAGGCTCTTGCCGAGTCCCTCCTGGGCTTTGTGCTCCTCAGGCCCATCTCTTCTCCTCAACCCGGGCCCAGGGCCGGGCACCCACAAGACCCCTGACAGCTAATGTTAACTGCAAACACGAGCTGAAACTTAAGCAGGTTCCAAGCCTGGTGCAGCTCAGCCCCCAGCCCCAGTCACCGCCAGAGAAACCGGAGGTGACTCAGCCTTGCGTGCCCGGCCCTGGCGAGCACCTGCTAAGCAAGCCCACATCATGTTGTTGCCACAGAGGAAACGATAGGGTCCTGGGAGGAGAAAAGACCTGGCCAAAAGGCAAAAGCAAACAGAGCTTCTGGTTCACTCACTCACCCTCCCAGCAGGAAGGTCCTGCCTCCAACCTCTCACGATCCAGTCCTCCAGACATTCTCCCAGCACCCAAGGGATGCGGGGTGGCCAAAACGACTGGGGCCCTGCCCTTCCTGGGCTCACAGACCAGTCCCCAGACAGGGAGGACCCAGCATGGGCAGGGCTGCAGTGGAGGAGCTCAGGGTCACCTGACCCAGCTTGGGTATCAGGGAAAGCTTCCTGGAAGAGGTGACAGCTGAGCTGAGAGCTGGAGAAGGGGCAGTAAGCCAGGAAAATGGGAGCCAGGGGATATCTTTGCTGCCCTGCATTTCTCTTCCTCAGCACCTGGCTGCCCCCAAGCCATCCTCTCTACTCTGGGGGCTCTATTTTTGCCTCCCCTCTCACCTCCCCGGCCTCAGACCTTCCCCTGTTCAAGCCTGGCTCCAGGCCTCTCCTTCCGCCCTTGTGCACCTGCCCAGAGCTTGGGGATGGCCCCGCACTCCCTAACATCCAGGCCGCCATGCTGGCCTGAGCCGGTCCCGTCCGCTCACACCGTCTCCCCCTGCGCCCTCGGTACCCCCAGCGCTGATGCAGCAAGAGGCAGCCCAGCGCGAGGCCGAGGAGCTGGAGCGCGTGCAGTGGCGGCCGCGGCCCGTGCGGGGCTGGGCCTTCCCGAAGCTGCTGTGGTACCTGGTGTTCCTGCAGCCCATCATCACCGAGGTGCACCTGCGGCGCAAGAACGTCAAGTTCCTCTTCATCCGCTTCAGCGCCTGGCAGTACGCCGGCACCGACAAGCTGTGGGCCGGCCTGGTGACCACGCTGTGCGAGGGCATCCGCCACCAGTACGGCGCGCTGCCCTTCAGCCTGTACTCGGTGCTGGGCACGAAGGCGGCCACGACGCTGGGCTTCCACCAGCGCGAGTGGCAGTGCCGGCACCGCGTATGCCTGGCGCTGCTGGCGCTGCTGGCCGTGCTCAGCCTGGGCGTGGGGCTGCTCTACCTGTCGGTGGGCGCCCGCTCGCTGAGCCACAGCGCCACCAACAGCAGCCTGCTCCGGGTGTTTGGCGGCGCGGCCACCACGCTGTCGGGCTCCGGGCTGCTCATGGCCGTGTACTCGGTGGGCAAGCACCTGTTCGTGAGCCAGCGCAAGAAGATCGAGCGGCTGGTGTCGCGCGAGAAGTTCGGAAGCCAGCTGGGCTTCATGTGCGAGGTGAAGAAGGAGGTGGAGCTGCTCACCGACTTCCTGTGCTTCCTGGAGATCTACCAACGGCGCCGGCTGCGTGTCGTGCTCGAGGTCACCGGGCTGGACACGTGCTACCCGGAGCGCGTGGTGGGCGTGCTCAACGCCATCAACACGCTGCTGTCTGACAGCCACGCGCCCTTCATCTTCATCCTGGTGGTGGACCCCAGCATCCTGGCCGCGTGCCTCGAGAGCGCCGGCTCCATGAAGGGCACGGCCGACAACGGCTACCTCTTCCTCAACCGCACCGTCACGCTGCCCTTCTCGGTGCCCATCATGGGCCGCCGCACCAAGCTGCAGTTCCTCCACGACGCCGTGCAGAGCCGCGACGACCTGCTCTATCGCGAGATGACGCGCAAGCTGTGGCCGCCGGGCGGGGCCGGGGCCGGAGCCAGGGGCGGCGAGGGCGCGCAGCTCCTGGCGGTGCAGACGCAGGCGGGGGGCGAGCGCGCGCAGAGCCGCATCGACGCCGAGGCGGCGCGCCGCATCCGCGAAGCGCTCTTTTGCCTGCACGACGAGCGCGACTGCCTCTACGAGTACGTGCCCGACAACGTGGTGTCCATGCGGCGCATCGTCAACACCGTGCCCATCACCGTGCGCCTGCTGCTGCAGCAGCAGGGGGACTTCGGGGGCCCCTCGCCGCGCCAGGCCGTGGCTTGGGTCGTGCTCGCCAACCAGTGGCCGTGCCGCCTCAGCTGGGCCCTGCAGTGCTTGGAGGACCAGCAGCAGGCCGGGGGCGCTCCCGAGGCCCGCGCGCGCCTGTGGGACGTGTTCTGCGACCACAGCCGGGAGCTGCACACCATGACCAAGCCGCTGAAGAACGTTCTCGACCTGGACGGCGACCCTGAGCTTTTTGAGCGCTTCCTGGGCGCCGACTTCCCCTTCACTGTGGCCGAGGCGCAGAGCCTCCTGCACTGCACCGTCAACCTGGACCACTCCATCCGCCGCCGCATGAGCCTCATCCGCGCAGTCAGCACGCTCAAGCCGCCCAGCCCGCCAAAGTCCCCCGCCCGCGACACCCCCCATACCCCCAACGGAGCCAACCACGCCCCCGGGGCGGCCCTGGCAGGCCACCCTGCAGGGCACGCCCCTGTTTATGCCAGCGAAGCCCACCATCCCCGGGACTGGGCGCAGGGGGGCAAGCCCAGACCCGTGTCTTGAGCGCCTTTGACAGGGGCAGGCCCGCCCAGGTGGGCCTTGAATGTGAGACTTACGGGCACAACACTTGCATCTGCCCAGAGGAGTGTGTAGGGGCCTGAGTGGGCTCAAGACCCAGGGGCCAGTGTCCGGAATGGGGCCTGTGGTGCCTATTATTTCCCAGATGAATCTATGAGCCAGGGAGAGCCGAAGGCCGTGTCCACCAGGAATGGGACAGCATGTCAGTGTCTGAGAGCCGGGGCCAAAGGACCCATGAGGAAATCGGGGTTCAAGTGCAATAAATGAAAATGTGAAAGCCCCCAATTGGTCTTCCTTGATGAGGGCAGGGAAGCGGAGAAGCAGAGATGGCCCTGGCCTCCCCAGCTCAGTGAGGACTGGACACCAGGCCTGCCCTGTCCTGCCAAGTCCACTGCATTCCCAGGGAGTCAGGCAGGCTCAGCTGGCAGCCTGCTCGCTGACATCCCAGAGGCGGGAGGGGCTGCGGGGGCAGGCGATGAGGGCCAGACGGATGTGCTCCTTGACTCAGTGGGGCACACCCAGGCCTCAGGGGATCCAGGTCCCTGTCCCCACACCTGAGCTTGCCCCTCCGTGGGCAGGGCAGGAGCTGGCATTTCCGAGGGCGGTGTCCCCAGTGACCTCAGCAGGCTGCTCCCCTCCCAGGGTGGCTCCTCCCCTGGCATAATGGGTTAATTTGGCTTCACTGGCACTGCAGTCTGGAGGAGCTGGTAGCACTGCTTCCCCCGGACAAGTAACTGTCCAGGGAGGATGCCTGCCTTACGGATCACTCCAGGGCCACCGGATGAGTCCCTTGAGGAGGACAGGGAAGTGGAGGTGCAGAGATGGGGCACATGGAGGCAAAGTGGGGGGCCTCCTAGGGCCGGCCTCCACCATCCTGGCTCATCACCTTCCTTTCCATCTCAGGGACAGAGACCTAGGGTTGGGGGCGCCACTCCTCTGGGCAGCTCCCCAGTTCTCATTGGTCAAAGAGCCACAAGCTGAGGCCTATGGTGTGCCTGGCCCAGTTCAATGGCTGGGGGGTGGGGGTGGGTGTGACTTCTGAGCCAGGACCCTGAGAGCCAAGAAGACTGTCCCAGAGGGAGCCAGGAGCTCTGTGAAGACACCCACCCCCAGGCCATGCAGCCTAGTTGGGGGTACTGCCCTCATGCCATATCTCCAAGGTTGGGTGCAGCACCCCAACACCCCTGGCCAATAACTTCTTCAATGTTATTGATGGGGCAGAGAATCAGCCTGTGACTTGAAAAGAGTTGCCAGGACTGAAGCACTGGCAGTCCTGGCAAGGCTGAGCTGATGGCATAAACCCGGACATGCTGAGATGCTTTCCAACAGTAGGGGGAGAGCCTGCTCAAGAGAAGCCACTGCGGGGAGAGACATGGTCCTCGTGACACTTTTAGATGGGTGTCTCTGTAGATGTACTGCTGTAGGCAGCATGCTTCCCTTCTCTTCTGCTTCCTCAGCCCACTTGACTTGGGCAGAGTCTAGGCTGCAAACAAACTAGCCCCAGGAGCAGGGTGCTGGGGAGGCAGAACACACCTGTAGACTCGGTTGAAAGTCAGGAGTAGGACTGAGGACCGCCTCACCCCCAGGCCCCAGGAGGAAGCTGCTGCCTGTAACAGGGTGTGCAGCAGTGGTCAAACTGTTGCCCAATTTTATCTTAGATTCTGGCCATGTGCCTGGCAAAACTATAGAGCTTTCGGAGACTAAAAAAACATCAAAAAACCAAACCAAAAGAGGATATCAGAGGGGCTGGGTGTGGCCAAGATGGCTCCCTGTCCCCCGGCATTCACAGGTCCTCTGTAGTGTGGGGCTTTTGCTGGGAACTGGCACCTAGAAGGGAGTGGAAGTGTGTGTCTTTTCCCTCGGTGACGACTTAAGAGTCGGGATTGCCTCTTCTCCGCTCTCCTCCCCTGCCTGCCTGCTGAGGACCTATGGCAGGGCCACCAGAAGGCAGGGTCCTGGCTTCCAAGAGTCACTTCATGGAGAACAGCTGTCTGCCACCCGCAACGCCGTGTGCATGAAAATAAACATCTCCCGTGTTAGGGCATTGAGATCTTTTAAGATTCAGTACAATGTCAAGCTGTTGTGAAGGACTCATGTGTTCACAAGCTTGGGTGATGCTTGGATGGCTGAAGGCAAAGGAGAGAAATACCTGGCCAGGGACTTCCCTGGTGGTCCAGTGGTTAGGGCTCTGAGGCTCGTTGCCAAGGGCCAAGGTTTGATCTCTGGTCAAGGAACTAAGATCCCTTAAGCTGAGACGCGTGGACTTCAAAAACAACAAAAAACCCTTGGCCAAAGGGATCTACCTTTAAGAGTCAAGACTCCTAAGGTCAGAAAATCAGGAGCACTGCAGAGCTGGTCTACTAGTCTCCTGGGGCTGCTATAACTAAATCCTATGAACTGAGTAGCTTAGAACAGCAGAGATTTATTTCCTTACAGTTCTCGAAGTCAGAAGTCCAAAATCAAGGAGTTGTCAGGGCCATACCCCCTCAGAAACCTGGAAAGGGAACCCTTCCTCACCTCTTCCAGCTTTTGGAATCCTTGCCTTGTGGTTGCATCACAAGTCCTCCATCCTCACAAGGACTTCGATGTCCTTATATCTTCCCTGTGAGCACGTCTGTCTGTGTCTCCAAATTCCCCCTTTTCGTATTGGATCAGGGCCCATCCTACAACCTCATTTTAACTTGAATACCTCGATAAATACCCTATTTCTAAAGTCCCATCTGAGGTGTGGGTGAGGCTCACAATTCAACCCTGAATCAACAGTTGGAAAGGATTAATTCCTCACCACAAGCTGAAGTGAAGGGCAGGGAAAAGGCTGGCAAGAGGACTCCAGACGTCCCCAGGCACCCCACGAGGCAGAGGCTCCTTCCCCACGCGTCCCCCTCAGCCCAGCCTGTTAATCACCTGGCCTGGAGGTGGAGGCAGACAGCAAAGGGGAGGGTGAGCACCCAGCACTGCTGCAAGGGCCAAAAGCCCCCACCGGGGTTGGCTCCCGGGCAATGGCTGAATTTCACCAAAGACCTACTGAGATTTTTAGAGGGCTGTACTGACAATACTCCAACTTGGCAAAAGACTGTGATTTCTCAGCACTTTGAAACAAAGCTGGCACTCCTGGGTCTCTCTAGGAAGGGGGGCTGGAGGCAGGGCAGCCTGGAGGGGCTTGTACCCCACCGGGTCACAGCTGTACCAGTCAGAGGATGCTGCTGCCCACAGCCCGGAACCTGGACACCGTGTGGGTGTCTCCCTGGCTGCCAGCAGGGCGGGAGCCATGGGCTGGTGACCAACGTACATGGCATTCCCCAGCCCTTTGCCCAAATGAGAGGGAGTCCCAGCCAAGGGAACTAAGTCCCAGTCCTAAGGACTGTTAGGACACCGTAGTGGTTGGTGGCTCAAGGTGTTCATCTCAGTCGCCCACGCAACTGGGGCAGATGATCCCCCAGTTTGCATAGGAACGGAAGAGGCTCCTGGTCATCGATGCTGTGATTCTCATGATCTTTTCACCGCATCTCTTCCTGACCTGAGCCAGCCTCCCACACAGGAAAGGAGTAGGTGCAAAGGCCTTCCCCTTAAGTGTTCTCACCTTTTCTGAAAGGTGAGACCCAGATTTCCCAGAAATAAGTGCCCAACAGCCCTCCAGCCACAGCTCGGTGCCTGTGGGCAGTGACCAGGCGACCAGCCGGGCTCCGGGGGCGGGGTGTTCTCCTGCTAGGATGTCTAGGGCTCACGGGGCTGGGCTGCTGTCTACTTCCTTGGTGGTTCAGGCAGTAAAGAACCTGCCTGCAATGCAAGAGACCCGGGTTCAATCCCTGGATCAGGAAGAGCCATGGAGAAGGGAATGGCAACCCACTCAGGTATTCTTGCCTGGGAAGTCCCATGGACAGAGGAGCCTGCGGGGGCTACAGTCCATGGGGGCGCACAGAGTCTGATCGGGCAGAGCAATGACCTCTGAACCCTAGCTGGACCTGAAGCTGGGAGGTATTTGGAACGTATTTCCTTGCAAGAGAGGGGAGTGGAAGCAGGGACGAACCGGCTGTCAGACGCAGAGGAGCCTGGGCTCCTGTGAGGAAGGGGCCCCGGGGTGGCAGCTGTGGTGGGAAGACCCAGCTCCTGCCTGTCGCACCTTGGGGCTCTCCTCCTGGATGGCCTCCACACATCCCCATGGACGCTCCACAGCCAGGACCTGTCGTGCCCCTGCCCCTGCCCAGAGCCCCCACAGCGGAGACCGAGGATCAGGGCAAGCAGAGAGCAGGCAAACGGGGAACCCAGCTCCAGTTTATTAGAAAAGGTGTGAACAGAGTTGCACCAACAGGAGCAGCCCCTCCCCCGCCCTCTGCGCCCCCCTCCCCCAAGCCCCCCCACCAGGGTTGTAGTGCCTCTCAGGGCGCAGCCTCACGTGGCCGGACAGCAGGTTCTCCAAGCCCTGGCTGCTCCCCGCCCCAGCTCCCTGAAAGATTTATTGCACTTAAGATAAAGAAAGCTCCGACCTCGGCTCCCGTCTCCCCCCACCCACCCCAGCCCAGGCCCCTCACCCTGCCTGGGGCTGCTCCGCCAAGTCCAGCCACCACCACCACCACCGCTCACCACCCCTCCCAAGCCGTGCCTCTGGCCTGATCCCGCACCCGGGGCCCTGGGGGCCATCCCGCCACCACCTAGGACTCCTGTCCTTGATGGGGCAAGCCTGGCCAAATGGGCCCCTGGGAAGAGGCACCAGGGCCTCATGACCCCGACGACCTTGGAGACCACATCCACTTCCTCCTCCCTTCCACCCCCAGCCCAGAGTCTTCGAGTGTCGACATAAATAGAAGTGCTTCAGTCAGGGTGGGGAGGGTCACTCCCTGTAGCTCCTGCACCCCGTGTAGTGTTGCTGTGTGTGGGGGTGGGCGGGGGTCCCAGGAAGGCCCCCACCCCCTGGTGTCCCGGGCCTCAGGAAGGCTGGGGTAAGGGTGAGCAGATTCTCATGGCTCTGTCCTCAGCTCTTCGAAGACCGACGGGCAAAAGGGAGCTGAGAGAGGAGAGAAGGGGCGGGGGGCCTATCAGAGCCGGGGCTCTGTTGCTAGCTCCCCGGCCCCCTGTGCCCCTGGCCCGCACCGCACCTAAAGTGTCACAGTGTCTCCTGCCCAGATTCCTGACTGGCTTCCAGAAGCAGCTCTTCAAGCTCCTTCTCATTCTTGGAGCAGCTCAGCTCTGTGGGGCATCGGGGGAGAAGGGTTGGCGGCCTCCAGTTAGGTGGGAGGGCTGGGGGCAGTAGCCCTGCCTGAGCCAGACTCACAGGGGAGCACAGGTCCAGGAACCACTGAGACCCTCAGACTCCAGTCAGCAGATCTAACATGCCCCACCCCCAAGGGGCTCCCAGGGACCCAAGGGAGTAAGGGGGGAACCGAGAACCCAGTCCCACTTGTCCCCATCAAGGTCCACTTTCATCAAGGGTAAACTGAGGCACCCCACGGGTGGATGCTCCCCCAGGGGCCCCACCACCCAGCCCCAGGGCGCCTCTCACCGTGTTCCAGGCCACAGCTGCCCACCTTGGCCTCAGGCCCCGGGGGTGGCTCTGGGGGCAGTGCGAGGGCGAACTCGGGCTTCAGGCCATTGGGCAATGGTGGCCCCACCTGGGGTGGCTCCGGCGGCAGCTGGGGCTCAGGTGGCCCAGGGTCCGGAGTGCTGGCGGCCTCAGTGGACGTCGGGAAAGGTGAGGGCGGCGGGGAGGCTGAGGCGGGTGGGGACGCAGGACCAGGAGGGGCGGGGGGCATGGGCGGCTCTGCCCTCTCAGGTGGGCTCTCCACCCGGGTCACCACAAACACTTTGTGGCCCCAGCCCGGGCTGGACACAGAGATGCGCTGCTCGGTGGGGGAGGAGGGGCAGCCTGGGGGGCTCCTGTCCCCAGGGCCCAGGGAGTCCGTGGGGGGCACCAGGGCGGGGCAGGGGGCCTCAGCCCTCTCCCCATCCGCCTCGTCCCCGTCCTCCCCCTCAGAGTCTGAGTCTGAGTCTGAGTCCGGCCCAGGGCTGGGGCCCGGCGCCCCGTTCTCCTGCGCCTCGGCGGCAGGCTCCTCCCGCGGCTCGTCGTCAGGCTGGGGCTCGGTGACGGTGATCTCGGGCATGGAGGCCGACAGCTGTAGCCGCTGCTCCTTCTCCTCCCGCTCCCGCGCCAGCACGAAGTTGCGCTTGCAGCCATTCTGGATCTCAGCGAGCAGCGCCTTCTGTGTCTCGATGAAGCTCTTCACCTGTGGGCGGAGGAGCGGGCCGGGCTCGGGCTCTGGGTGGCCTGCCAGCAGCGGGTCCCCAGCCCGACCCCCACCTGCTGTCAGGGAAGAGCCCGCTCACCGCCTCCTTCTTGGGCTCACGGTCGAGGTCCAGGCGCAGCAGGGAGTGGTTCACCTTGAGGGCCAACGACAGCGCCATGAGCCCGCCTGTCTTGATCTCGTTCTCCCGAAGGTCCAGTCTCAGGAGGCGGGGGCTCTCGGCGATGAACTCTGCCACTGCCACCGCGCCTGGGAGGGGGACCGCAGGGGCTGGCCACGGGCCCACACCCGCTGGCCGCCCCCCGGCCTGGCCCTGCCATCCCCCGCGCCCTACCCTCACACGTGAGCTTGGTGGAGGCCAGGCCGAGGCGCAGCACGCTGCGGTTGCCGATGAGGCCATTCTTGAGGTTCCGCACGCCCTCGTTCCCGATGGGGTTGTGGCCCAGGTTCAGCGTCTCCAGGCTGTGTGTGTGCGGCTGGAGGGGTTGGCACATGAGAGCCAGGAAAGGCCCAGGAGGCCAGTCAGGAAAGAGGCAGGCTCTCCTTGGCAGTGCCCCGAGTCCGAGGACCGGCACCTTCCTGCTTCAGGCCGAATCCCTCAGGTACGCAGAAATCTCCCAAGTGCCAGCTGCCCGTCCACTCCCCAGCCCTCCGAGCGTCCAGCCAGGCGCTGCACCCCATAGCCCCAGGCCCACCCTCTGACCTCGCCAGCCTCCTGAGGGCTCTGAGCACAGGTCTGGCTGTGGGTAATTCTTAACCTGGGTCTGAGTCCTTGTACCCTGTGGGCTTGCTTTGAATACCATGTGATGAAGAGATTCAAGACTTACTGAAGACTTCCAGGAATGCTAACTTTCTATGCAAAACATTTTCCCCTGGCACAAAGCACTGTCTTGTACTAGTCTGTGGTGCTGGGTGTGGAGAAGCAATGAAGGAAGGGATACCCTCCTCAGAAAAAGAGGGAGCAGGAGCCGAAGCAGAGACCATGCAGGGCTGGCGGGAGAGGGCAGCTTCCCCAACTGGCAGGATGAGCCGGGACCTCGGAAGCGGGGGAAGGGGGTGGGGGAGGTGCTGGGGGGGCCACACTGCCCCCTCCCTCTCCAGCCGACTCACCAGTGTCATGCCCAGGAAAGCCATGCCCATGTGTGTGAGCTGGTTGTTCCACAGCACCAGGGTCGCCAGCCCCTTCCTCTGCTCCTTGAGGCCCTCGCAGATGTAGGCCAGACCTGGGGAGGCCCGTGGGCAAGTCTTGTCTGTGGTCGGGGACTCTCCCCAGGGGATGCTGGCCCGGGAGCCACCCTGCGAGTGCTCAGAAAGCCCCGCCCTGGCCTGCCCAGCCCCACAGGCTCTGGCCCCACTACCTGGGACCTGGCACACACAGCTTCCCAATCCCAGAGATCATTCTTCCTCTGGGTAAGTAGATGGAGGACTCCTCCACCTGCCTCAGATCTTCACTCAAATCTCACCCGCTCACAGGACAGTCCTAGCCAGCCTACCCTCAGCAGACAGCTCTGTCTCCCATCAGGGCTTTGTTTCTCCTCAGGGCATGTCTCACCGTCTAACAGACATTATTAACGTATCTTGGTTTTGTCTCTCCCAAGGCAGACACTTCTGCCTCACTCACAGCTGTGAACCAGGAGACAACAGGGCCTGAATATGGTAGGTGCTCAGTACCTGTGGTGCCTGGGGCCAGATGCCCTGGAGGAAGGTGCTGGACTTGCTGCCCCATCCTGCACCTCCCTCCCCCAGAACCCTGTCCTCACAGAGGCCAAGGGACTCTGCTCAACAGTGAACCAGGATGAAATAAAACTCCTCCCGCTGACCAGGCCCTGTGACTAGTCCCTCTTCACTGCTCACTCACCTTCAGGCTCACTGGGGCTCGTCCCCCCAGATATCTAACATCTAAGCTCTTTCCCAGGCTTTCCTGGTGGTTCAAGCAATAAAACAATCTGCCTGCAATGCAGGAGATGGGGGTTCAATCCCTGGATCAGGAAGATCCTCTGAAGAATGGCATGGCAACCCATTCTAGTATTCTTGCCTGGAGAATCCCATGGACAGAGGAGCCTGGCTAGCTATAGTCCATGGGGTCATAAGCAGTAGGACATGACTGAAATGACAACATGCACACATAAGCTCCTTCCCACCTCAGGGTCTCTGCACTTGGTATTCTCTGCCTGGGTTCTTCCCTAGGCTGTTTAAATGGCTGGCTCCAGCCCTGCCTCCTCACCACCACCCAGAGGTCCCTGCCCGCACTGCACACCTTAAACATCTTCCGGTTGATCCTTTATCCCAACATCAACCATGTGGTCAATACTGCACCTCACCCTGAAGGAACAGTTGAGCTGTTCCCTCCTTCTGAACTCCTCCCTCATCCTGAGTTGGGGCCAGACCCTGGGGCTCCCACAGCCCAGGCCCATCTGAGCCGTCACCAGGAGGGGAGGGCTGGGACTGTCCTGGCCACCCCTGTGTCAGCAGCACCACGAGCGACTGGCTGGCCACATGGTGGGTGCTGGGGGACTGGAGCAGGATGGGCTAGGGACCACATACCCACCTGAGTCCAGCACATGGTTGTTGCGGAGGTCCAGGATCTGTAGGGAGCAGTTGAACTTGAGCAGGTTGCCGAGCTGGGCGGAGTCCTGCAGGCCGTTGAGCTTGTTGTCGGCGAGGTACAGCTCCCGCAGAGTCATGTTCATCTTCAGAGCCGTGGCTGGGGGAGAGGGGGAGGGGGTTGTGACTGGCAAGGCCCGGGGGACACGGCCAACAGCCCGAGCCCAGCAGCGCGCCGCCCCGGGGCTCACCAAGCAGCATGAGGGGCCGCCCCGACAGGCTGGCGCTCTCCAGGTGCAGCACCGCTAAGCTGCTGCGGATGCGCAGGGCGCGCGCCACGAAGGGCGCCGAGTGGTCCAGCAGGGGTGTGTTGCGGGCGTCCAGGTACTGCAGGCAGCTTGTCTGCGAGGCAGGTGCGTGAGGGGCGGGGTCAGCCTGGCCCCGCCCTCCCCGCCTTGGCCCCCTGCCCCCCATATCCCAACAGCCTCATGGGCAGCAGGGCCACCTGGTTGTACAGCGGGGGACACTGGCTGGTGAGGGAAGGGCTGTGGAACCAGGCCCTACGAGGAGAGGCTGCGGGCCGGAGGTGCCCACCTTGCGCATCATGTGAGCGGCAGCCTGCCAGCCCCGGGTGCCGATGTGCTTGTTGAAGGAGATGTTGAGGTGGGTGGCCGACTCGTAGTACTCGATCATGTCGAAGAGGGCTGAGGCACCCTGGGCAGTGACAGCAGGGCTTGGGTCACGGCCGCCCGGGGAAGCCAGGAAGCAGGGGCTGAGGCACTAGGCTCCTGAAGGCCATATGCCTCCGCTCAGGCCTGCTTCCCCACGTCTCCCCCTTGCTTAGGAAGCCGCCATCTTTGGGGTGAGTCTATGAGACCGTTTCTTGGGGCCCCTCCCAGAGTCCAACCCCACCGCCCCACTCTAGCCACTCTGGATGTCTCCCTGATCTTGTTCCTCGAGAGGCCCCGCCCAGCCTCTGTCCTCCCAGACCTCTAAGGGGCAGGGAGCTCAGGGCGTGGGGATAGGCGGTGGCGGGCTGCTCACATCTTCGTCTAGGTTTGTCTGTTCCAGATCCACGACCTTGAATTGCAACCTCTTGAAGACCTCTTCCAGGGCCTCGCAGGTCTTGTAGTCAAGCTTCTCACCTGGGACGAGATGGAGCGCCATGTGCGCAGGCGCATCTATGCGCGCATCTCTACGCATGTGCACCAGGTGTGGGGCGGGGCGCTGGGTGGAAATACAGGCTCCCGGCCAACCCAGGGAGTAAAGACCCCCGAGCCTCCCCACGGCTCGAGGCACCTGTCTCACCTCCGGGGACGCCCACACCTCTCTCTGGCCCAGCCCTGCCTGCCCTCGGCCACCTCCAGGGAGTCCCCAGCCTTGCCCACCACCCAAGGGCCCCCAGCCCCTTCCAGACACACACCTTTCAGATCCAGACAGTCGATGCGGTGCCCGAGGTCCGTGCACTCCTGGGAAAGCAGAGCGGACAGTGGTCAAGGCAGGAAGACCTTGACCAGGCTGTCAGGTTGTCTGTCCCTAACAGTTAGTGGGGGAGCCAGGGCTCTGAAACAAGCAATCCTGGAACATTCTGGAACGACCCGTCCAGAGGGAAGGCACTGAGGCAGTGCTCTACCAACATGACCAGGGTGGACGGGCGACAGGGAAGACACCTGCGAATGATGACTAGGGGCGAGCAGGCCAGAGGTACAGCAAAGCCGTGTGTATGTGTGAATCACTCAGTCGTGTCCAATTCTTTGTGACCCCAGAGACTGTAGCCCGCCAGGCTCCTCTGTCCATGGGGATTCTCCAGGCAAGAATACTGGAGTGGGTTGCCACTCCCTTCTCCAGAGGATGTTCTCGACCCAGGGATCAAACCTGGGTCTCCCACATTGCAGGTAGATTCTTTATGGGCTGAACCACCAGAGAAGCCCCACAGCAAGGCCTCAGCCATACAAAAAACAGAACCTGCCCACGCGTCTACACACCTCTGGACACTGACTCCTCCCTTTATAAAAGCACAGTCTCGAGGGTGAAAACCCCAAGCTGCCACCAGGGGGCACTCCTGGGAATGGGACTTGGGCAAGAAGTGAGAAACACAGCTTGCTTTTTATACATGCAGTATTTGAACTTTTTTAAAGAGAGAATATACATTATTTTCGTCATTCAGGCTTTTAAATTTCATATACATGGCTTTTCCTCTGGGGAAGAGAACTTATTTGGAGAGCGGATGATTCTTGACAAGTAATTTCCTACTTGTATAATTCTGTACTGTTTAAGTATTCATGAAGAGCCTGACTGGTTTTACCACTTAAGAGAGGATTTTCAAAGACATATTTACACAGCCCTTGGCTGGCAGGCTAGGCTGGAGAGGGGGAGTGTTTCGTGTACCCTCTCTTGCTTGGGGCAGGCACCACGGGCCCAGAGGGTGCTGGGGGGCACAGGGAGGGCAGCTTCACCCCAGGGACCACCCCACCCCCAGTCACCTGGCATACCTGGAGCTGCCTGAGGAGCTTGGGGATCTGTCTGCAGTTCAGCTTCTGGCAAGCCTGCTTGTAGGCGCCAATGATCTCGTCCACGGTCACATTCTGGGCTGTAGGCAGAGAAGACCCAGGCAGGTGACTCTCCACACCCTGGGCCTCATTCACCCATCCTACCCACTGGCCTCTGCCACCCCTCTCCCCTCTCAACCTCCTTCCAACAACCCACTGAGTTCAGTCCTGCTATTGAGGCCCTTGCTGTGACTGCTACTCTGGGGACGTGTCTCCCGGTGCCCCCAAGTCAAGTTACCCCATCCTCCCACACCTACCCAAAGCTCCCCAAACACCTTCACATAAACATCATACAACTAATATCACACCATTTTTCTACCTGTCAGCTACTTCCTCCACTAGATTGGGAGACCCCACAGGCCAGGACTGGGGCTCCCTTGGTCACCCCCAGGATCCCCAACACCACCTGGCACAGGGCCAGACCCAGAGCAGATGTCTGATTTGTGGTTTCTTTTGAATGAGAGAATGAGGCCACACTCTGACCTTATGAGGAAGTTGAGCTCAGAGAGATGAAGCACTTTGCCCAAGGTCACACAGCTGGTGGGTAGTGGAGCTGGAACTCAGCCCTTAACTGAGATGCCTACGGCCTCTCAGATTCCTCACTCCCAAAACGCCCTCAGTACCGAATAGGGCTTCCTGTGCCCCAGGGACACGGCAGCAGTCAGAGTCCCTGATACGGCCCTGGCACCCCAAGGCGGCGGACAGTGGCTCCCCAAATGAACGAGGGGTGCAGCCGAAACCCAACCTGCACAGGCTTGTCCTTGGGAATCTCGGGGCCTGTCACCATGCGGAAGGTAGGGCTGGCTTTTCTGTCTGCACAGATTTGCCTTTTCTGGACATTCCATACAAATGGTGGCAAACAGTATGTGGCCTCTGGCAGCCCGCCTCACAGTTTTGAGTGTCGGCCGCTTTGTGGTGCTGCGTACTAACTGTCCAGGTACGCATTTTGTTTAGCCATTTGCCAGGTGAAAAGACCAGTTTTTGGCTGTCAGAGCCCGGATTTTGCCCCGGGGGCAGCCAGGAGGGCAGGAAGGAGGGGCTCTGGCCGGGGAGGCACAGGGTCAGGCCTGGGCGCAGGGAGCCCACAGCGTGGAGCGGACAGGGGGCTGCAGGGTGGGCAGGGATGGGCCAGTGGGAGCCCCTGAGGACCTCTGGGCAGGCATTTCCGGGGGACGCTCCCTCCGGCCACTACTCTGGCCAGGAGCCCAATACCCCGACCCTATCAAACAGCACCATGACTTCTTGGGGAGGAAACCAAGGTCCAGGGAAGGAAAGCTGCCTCCCTGAGGCCAGGCAGCTGGTCCAGGCAAAGTGGAATACCCACTCCAGAACTCTCTCCACTGTGTTAGGGAGGGATGCTGGAGGAAAGAAGCTCGTAGAGGCCCCGGGCTCCCCAGAGCTCAGGCCCCATCCTAGACCCTTCGCTTCCTTCTTGGGTGGACGTGGGCAGCTTGGAGCCTGAGAGAAGCTGCAGGTGACCAGCAGCCTCCCCCGTGTCAGCTGCCCTCCCTGACATGCCATCATGTGCCCGGTGGCTCCCAGCTCTGGGGGAGGGGGGATAGGCACTGGCCTGTCCTCAGGGAATCCGCCAAGCAAGGGGCCACTGACCCCCTGGGGGATCCATGAACTTGAGAAAAATTGCCTCTTTGTTTTCACTAGCTGAACTGTGATGTAATTTAACATTTCCTTCTTAGTAATGTAAGAGACAAAAAAGAGAGAAAAGAAACACTCTTTAGCAGACCCTAACACTCTGTCATCAATAGAAATGGCAGATGTTTTCACATCACAGAACAGTTACTGCAGATCCTGAACGCTCATCACTGCTTTGGGAGATGTCCGAGCTGCTGCTACATCCTGTTATTTCATGTGTCAATGAGGACAAGTATAAATACTATATGATTTTAAAGGTATTTAATAAACTGTATTTTAACTAGTACCCTTTATAAATCCCATTTTCCGCCTTTAAGAATCGCTGCTGCACAGGGCTTCCCAGGTGACACTAGTGGTAAGGAACCTGCTACCAGTGCAGAGATATCTAGAGTCGGGAGTTCAACCCTTTGGTCAGGAAGATCCCCTGGAGGAGGGCATAGCAGCCCACTCCAGGATTTAAAAAAAAAAAAAAATCTAAAAAAAAAAAAATCGTCGCTGTAAAAAAGTGTGAACAGGCTTTACCAGATGGCCAAAAGGCAAAAACTGCTCCCTGAGACCCACTCCCTTCAATAACGGCCCCCAGGCCAAGGTGGAGCTGGTTTGGTCACCTCAGATGGGGATGAAGTAGGGACTGGTACACATGGGGTTGTTAACTAGCAGTTCTCAGTATCCTAGACAGTCTACAGGAAATGTGAGCCCTTAGCAACACAGTCCTTTAGGTGTCCAGCTCCAACACTGCTTCCTCCAGGAAGCCCTCCCTGACTGCCTAGGACTTCTGGCTCCCGATGTCCCCTGAAAGCCTATCCACTGTGTTGGTCTTTGCTCTGAGAGGCGTCCTGGTGAGTCTGAGGGCCAGGGTCTCTGACCTTGCCAGCTCCACACCAGCCACAGGTACCATCCAGCCACTCCTCCAGTGAGGCACCCGTGGGGTTTTGATGCCTGTACAGCCTCACACAAGGTCACTGCCAGGGCTGGGAGAGGCAGCACCTGCCCACTCGTGTGCAGTAGGGGAAGCTGAGAGCAGGGGCAGGAGAGACAGACAGGCTCGGAGACCTGGGGCCCAAGGCCCAGAGCAACTGCAGACAAGAATGACAACAGCAGGCTTCCCTGGTGGCTCAGTGGTGAAGGATCTATCTGCCAACGCAGGAGACGTGGGTTCGATCCCTGATCCAGGAGGATTCCACATGCCGCGAAGCAACTAAGTCTATGCACCGCAACTACTGAGCTTGTGCCCTAAGAGCCGGAGTGCCACAACTGCTGCAGCCCACAAGCCTACAGTCCCTGCTCCGTAACACGAGAAGACAAGGGCGGCAAAGAGAGGCCCACGCACCACAACCAGAGCAGGCCCTGCTCGCCGCAACCGGAGAAAAGCCTGCGCACGGCAATGAAAACCCAGCTCAGCCAAAAACTGGTAAATGAAATAACATCACTTTTCAAAAAGGATGATAATTGTGTCTCGTCATTCTCCTCTGATGCTGAGACACACATTTCAGGCGGGGGCAGCAGTGGGTGAAACACTCAGAGGAACAAAAGCGGGGTTCAGCCTGGGGGCCCCCCCAGCCCCGTCTCGCTTTTCTCAACGGCACCACCAGCCACGTCCCCAGGCCTGGTCTGTCACCAGTGGGCACGCTTGAGTGTCAGGTGGATTGGGAAGGACCTTGAGGAGGTCATCAGTATGTATGTGTACTTCATTCATATATAAGAAAAAGGAACTATTAAATCAAAGCCAGCACTTTGCATAGATTATCGCTGGAAATGAATGAGATGAAACATATTCAAAATTTTTTAATAAACCAATGTTAAAAAAAAAACATGGTAAAGAAATGGCAGTACAGGTGCTTCGGAGAAATTACACAGAGCATTTATGCAGCACTTCCGCTGTGCCAGGCGCCACCCAAGCACTTTACAGGCTGCAGGGGCTGGCCCAGGCAGCCAGCTCAGGGCCAGCGCCCGCACACTTGCTCATCTGTGATGACCTCGGGTCATCCGTCCTCGACCTGTCCAGCCTTAACTGAGCCACAAGGCCGCTGTGAGTCAAAGGGCCCAGGCCTCCAGCTGTAGCCAGGCACCCAGAGATGAGCGAGCGAACCCGGCGAGCTGCGTGAGGAGGACAGCTCACATGGTGAGGTCACTAGCCACCAGGGCTGGGCCAGGCTGGGAGGCCCGAGTCGCAGCCCTGGGGCCAGGTTCCAAGGCCAGGGCTGCAAAGTGGTGAGGGCCCAGCTCCAGCCTGAGATCGGGGGGCCTGGGTCCTGGCTGCCCCCGCCCCTACAAGCTCAGGAAGGCCCTGCTTGGACACAGCTCACCGGAGATGTGGGGTCTCGCAGCATGGTTGAGCACGGGCTCCAGAGCCAGAGAGCCTGGGGCAGTCCTGGCTCCCAACTTAAGCTCTGTGACTCCAAGCAAAACGACGTAACGTCTGCACCTCAACCACTTGACCCTGAAAACGAGGCCGAGCGGGACTCCTCCCGGGGTGAGTGTGGTGACTGAGTCAGCACAGAGCATTCTCAGACAGGGGCTGAGCTCACGCTTGGAGTGCTCCTCCAGGCCGGGGCTGAGCTCACGCTCCGGAGTGCTCCTCCAGGCCGGGGCCGAGCTCACGCTCCGGAGTGCTCCTCCAGGCCGGGGCCGAGCTCACGCTCCGGAGTGCTCCTCCAGGGCGGGGCTGAGCTCACGCTCGTGCTCCTCCAGGCCGGGGCCGAGCTCACGCTCCGGAGTGCTCCTCCAGGCCGGGGCCGAGCTCACGCTCCGGAGTGCTCCTCCAGGCCGGGGCCGAGCTCACGCTCCAGAGTGCTCCTCCAGGCCGGGGCCGAGCTCACGCTCCGGAGTGCTCCTCCAGGCCGGGGCTGAGCTCACGCTCCGGAGTGCTCCTCCAGGCCGGGGCCGAGCTCACGCTCCGGAGTGCTCCTCCAGGCCAGCCGGCCGGCAATGCTGTGTTTTGTCTCCACACTGGAAGGCGGGGACCCAGAAGAGAACAGAGCACCTGTCGAGTGACGGAACAGTTGGTGAGGGGTGTGCAAGGGGGAGACGCCTGTGAGTGTGTGTTGCCAGCTCCCACAGCCACAGCTGCGAAGGTCTGATTTGGGCAGGGCCTGGTGTAAGCAGCCATCAGAGAGGAGGGGCGGTGCAGTGAGGGGCGCACCCCCGGGCTCCGGGGTGGGATGCAGAGAGGTCACAGCTTCGGGTAAGAGGATCCATGTTCCGATCCTCATCCTGTGAGGCTGTGATGAACACCATGACCTCTTTCCCTCTCTGAAAGGGACACCTGGAGGGTCTCAGGAGAGAGGGACGTGAGGGCAGCCGCCACGGAGCTGCCCAGCGTGGGGCCTGGCTCAGCGGGAGACACAGCTGGAGAAAGGTGACAATGGTGGCCACGGCCACCACGTCCAGG